TTCTACACTGCTAGTGAGACTGCAAACTAATACAACCTTTATGGAAAGAAGTATGGAGAATCCCATTACTAGGTATCTACCCAGAAGAACAAAAATCATTTTACCATAAAGACATGTGCACCAGAATGTTTACTGCAGCCCATTTTATAATTGCTCAGTCCTGGAAGCAACCCAAATGCTCACCAACCCATGAATGGATTAACAAACTGTGGTATGTGTATACCATGAAATACTATTCAGTCATAAAAAGATGGAGACTTTACATCTTTTATGTTTACCTGGATGGAACTGGAACACATTCTTCTTAGTAAAGTATCTCAAGAATGGGAAAAAAGTATCCAATGTATGTACTCAATAATATTATGAAACCAATATATAAACACACACTCATAGGAATGATAAAACACAAATACAGTCCAGCAAGGGGGAGGGAAGAGGAGGGCAACTGGTGGGAGGAGGGAGGGCATTTGGTGGGATCTTGCCTAATGTGCAAAATGCAAGGGTGTATTTCAAAATAACTAAGAGTAAATTTTAAATATCTTACCACAAAAAATAAGTGAGGTGATGGTTATGTTAATCAGTTTGATTTAATCATTCCATATTGTATATCAAATTATCACATTGTACCTCATAAATGTATACAGTTATGATTTTAACTAAAAATTTGATTAAAAAATAAAGGAAAAAATACTCTTAAATGACAAACCTATTTTAGCTTGAAAATACCGTGGAGGTTTTCTAGTTTAATCTTATTTTACAGATGAGGTGGTTCAGGTTCACATAGGGAAAAGTCTTTCTCACACACCTACATAGTGATAAATTGTAGAATTTAGATTCTTTCCACTAATTCACCATGCTTTGATACTACACTGGGCACTTAGCAGACATGTAATGTGCTGATAACTCACTCCTAAATTTATAAGTGGATGTCTTTTTTTGTTCAATTCTAGGTCCCATCCCCAAATTAATACCTGGCATAATAGTAAGTACTCAACAAATATCTGTTAAATTTGAACCTGGAACCCAGCAAGACAAATTCCTTGGAAGTTAATCAAAACTCAGAGGATCATTAATAATAATAATCCCCTATACACATAGAGAAAACATAGTTTTCAAAGTTCTTTTACATATATGAGCCTCTTTGATCCCCCTTAGGTAGATGTGGCAGGAATTATTAGTTTTAGGTAACAGATGCAGGAAATTCAGATGCCTCTGAAAAGTTAAAGGTCAGGGTCTCCTGTGCAAAATGTAGCAGAGCTGAGATCAGTATTCATGTCTTCTGGCTCCTGCTTCAATACCATCTCCATTATTCTATGTTGCTTCCTTTTTTTTTTGAGACAGAGCCTCAAGCTGTCGCCCTGGATAGAGTGCTGTGGCATCACAGCTCACAGCAACCTCCAACTTCCTGGGCTTAAGTAATTTTCTTGCCTCAGCCTCCCAAGTAGCTAGGACTACAGGCACTCACCACAGCACCTGACTGTTGTTAATTGTCATTGTTTGCAGGCCCAGGCTGGATTCGAACCCTCCAGCTCTGGCATATGTGGCTGGCACCTGAGCCATCTATGTTGCTTCTTCAGCTTTGCCTTTCTGCTTGTGGGTAAGGGAATAGGTTTGCTAGAAGATGTGGTTTTTCTTCTCTAAAAATCCACTGTTATAGGTACTGCCGTTTTAATTCTGATTAGATATACTCTGCAGAATTACCCATATTCTTGATACTATGAGGCTCGTTATTTCTGAGAGGAGGGTTACTATTTGTGTGTTTTGGGGCAAAGGAGGCAGTACTTTTCAGACATCACTTCCTGTAGAGACCAGAGGCAGGCCCTTTTATAACCAGGTGTTGGTAAAAGAAAAAATAATACCTAGTCCTTGGCCTGGCCTCACCACAGAGTATTTGGCACACTGGATTTCTTCAAGATCAAATGTATATTAGGGAACTAACTACAGATATTTTGCTTAAATTATCTTACCAGACAAGTGCAGTGGCTCACACCTGTAATCCTAGCACTCTGAGAAGCTCAAGTGGGTGGACTGCTTGAGCTCAGGAGTTCCAGACCAGCCTGAGTAAGAGTGAGACCTTGTTTCTACTAAAAATAGAAAAAAACTATCCTGGTATAGTGGAACACGCCTATAGCCCCAGTTACTCAGGAGGCTGAGGCAAGAGAATTGCTCAAGCCCAAGAGTTTGAGGTTGCTGTGAACTACAGCACCACGGCATTCTATCCATGGCAACAGAGTGAGAATCTGTCTCAAACAAACAAAAAGAAATTCTCTTAACCAAATTCACTTTGGTACAGAGTTCACCCTAGGTTCTAGCTATGAGGATGATTTCTGATCCAAATCAGAGCATTATAGGAGCTAAAGGCAGCCTAAACATATATCCAACCTATAGATTTCAGTTCTCATGAAGAGCTCAAAGTATTGGCTAAGAAAATGACCCAAAGTTCAACAGGGATTGCAAACTCAAATGCCTTATCAGATCCCAGCCAAGTAATGGAAAGCCCCACACAAAAATAAGTCTGTGCCTAATTTGTTTTTCAGCTATAACCATAAGTTGTTTTGTTAGAATGTGAACTAAGAGTTCACATATCTTCCAATTTTTCACAAAAGCTGGACATCTGTATTTTAAAAATATGAAATCTAGTTTTTAAAAGTTAGCTGCTAGTCCAATCTTCAAGCCTGCTGTGAACCATGGGTGGTCAGCCAGCATTTGACTTTTTCCTGTGCAGTTGGATCCTACTCCATAAGAGGGAGAGAAAAATAGCTGAAGTGCCACTTTCAAGCATGGGACAAGGTTTACGACTTTTCAGAGAATCTAGATAGTGCTGAAAAACTGGAAAACTCCCTGAGTCAATAGGAATGTAACATAGCTGGGGATCTGGAGGCATCTGCTTCATGAAATAACTAGATAAATGTGTGCCCTTTAGGTTATCTGGGATATAAAGCTCCTTTTGTTAGGTATTTCGGCAAATACCTTCTCTAGGAGTGTTTGGGAGACCAGTATACTCGAGAACGGGGCGTGGAGTATTTGAGAGAACAGTTCTCAAGAAAGTATGAGGGATGACTACCAGGAAGTACAGAAAGGGGTACAAATGTTAGGGAGTACTGGAATACCGTCTCTCTTCAAGGAATGTTGAGAGAGAGGCGATAACCTCTCCTCGGACGCCCCCTTTGGGCACCGCTTGCTCACCGTCGCCTCACCGCCGTCAACTTCAGCGACCATCTTAACGCCCCTTTCTGCGCAGGCGCCGCAGAGTCCCAGCTTCCGGCCTAGAGCCGAACCCCGCCTCTGACCACGCCCCTTCTCTCTGAGCCCGCTTCTGGCCACACCCCTTTGCTCCCGACCCAATCAGTTTCCCCTAAAGCTGCAGCCAGTGATTTCTAGCTTGGTTTTTAAGTACCCGAGCGCCCTCTCTGTGCTGGCCGCCGAGGAAATGAAGTGAAATACTCAGATCTTGTCTTTGGGTAGGTCACAGGTAGATGAAGAGAGATAGACAAGTAAATCCTAACAATGTAGAATGCGTCCGGTTTGCTTGGGTACTAAAGACTTCCAGGATACGTCAGAGCCCAGAAGGCAGTGAAAGTCAGTCATTCCAGCTAGTGGACCTGGAAGTGTGAAGGCACACAGCGGTACGGGTGTATGGTGAGTGCAAGGTGCATGCGCGCAAACTGCAAAGGCAGTGCTTTAGAAAACTTTCGCACGGTGGCGTTGGGGGGCGGGAGGGGGGGGGGACGTACCATCTTGGAGAGTTTTGGAGATTCAGCTTGGAAACTAAGGGTGACAACTGGAGGAGCTTTAACAGAAGACTTAACCAAAGTGTGTGAATGAATGAAGACAGCAGGGGAAGAATGGAAGCAGAGGATTTTAATAGTAATCCAGAGAAGAGAACCTAAAAGCCACTATTCCACTTGTAGCGGGAACTGAAGTGAGACAATGGATTCACGAGGTAATTTTGAAGCAGAAATGATAGAAGGGGACTGATTTGGAAGTGGGGAGAAGAAAGGAAGTTTTTATTTTTATTTTTTGAGACAGTGTCTCCGTCACTCTGGGTAGAATGTGGTGGGGTCACAGTTTACAGCAACCTCAAACTCTTGGGCTCAGCAGTCCTCCTGAGTAGCTGGAACTACAGGCGCCCACCACAATGTTGGATTACTTTTTCTGTTTTTAGTAGAGACAGGACCTCGTTCTTGCTCAGACCAGTCTGCAACTTCTGAGCTCAAGCAATCCCCCCTGCCTCTGCCTTGCAGAGTGGTAGAGTTACAGGATTGAGTGACAATGCCCAGACTAAAAATGACGTTTTTTAATGACTGGGCAACTGAATTATAAGGATTTATTTAGCAAGCAAATGGAAATGTAATTAGTTCCCTGCCTCGTTCCTCTAGATCTCCACCCCAGAACCAATTACCCTGCCAAGAGGCATCATTTTTTCCTTATTTCCTCCTCTTTAGGATTTCTGCTGCAGCTCTTTTACCTTGAATAGAGCCTGAATGAAAAGCCAGTGTGCATTCCTAGGCTTAACCTTCTGTTCAGTCCATGGCAGGTTTAGCTCTCTGCCAAGCCCTGGAGCCATAACTCTTCTTGGTAGGCCCCTGTCTTGTCCTCACAACCCAGGCTGTGGTCTGTCCTAGTCATTCTAGACAAAGGAAAGAGATAGTATGGACTCGTTTTCACTGGCATACATTGTCTCCTGCTCCTTTGGACCTTTCCCAGGAAGCTGATGCACTAGGCCCCATGATCCTGGTAATCAGATTGGTGGTCTCAGGTCAAGGCCAAATGCTAGCCCAGTGGTTACTGTGCTGGTTGGCACTTGTCCAGAACAATTTTAGACTATACCCCTTGGCTAACAGGTGTGTGGTAGGAGGGGAAGGGAGAAGAGAGTTAGCAAAGAACCACTGGGCCCAAATCTACCATTGGATGGTCATTCCTATGGCTTTCCAAACTTTAGCAAAATTACCAAACCCCAAAGGCTGCTATAAGGTAATTTATTATAGACAAGCCTATAATTTCCTGTAACAATGGCACATACAATAACAGCAAAGATGCTTAGTTTCTTGCTTTATGTACTGGACAGTACAGCTGTGGGCAATCCCAAGTCATAAGATGTCCAGGAGGCTGCTACTGAGGAAATCCAAGGACCATGTCATACATCTGAGCAAAGTCTAGGGAGGTCCATCTGAGACCCCCCTGAAAGTCTGTCTCTGACCTCCTAGGGAGTGTTGAGGCCGCCTCCATTCAGCCTGTATAGAGAGATCAGAGTCCAAGCTCCTCCTGTAGGGTTGAACATCTATGTGGGGTACAGCAACTGATCCAGATGAAAGAGAAAGAAGCCAAAGGCTAGATTCTTTCTGCAAGGTGAAGGACAGCCAGAAGGCAGTGGCTATAGGTAAGAAGGACTCTTTCTAGACTGGTTCCTACAATTTTTGGCTTTGTTCAGGTCCTACCCAAGAAGAAAATACTCCTGGATCCTTCAGTTAGCCCTCAGGTAGATTCATGTAAGTACAGCTTCTCATGTCCAGAAATCATCTCTCCCCTGCCTATAGTTGTGAGGTAGGGGGACTCCTGGGCAGGTGATCCCTGGTATCTGGGTTCGAAAGAAATATTCCGCTCAGGGCTCTGAAGCACCACATATACCTGATATGATCTACCACGATATGATTTGGGGAAAGGGATTACCACAGCTCATTTCTAGAAGGTATCTTGTTCAGTTTCAAAGCCTTGATCTCATTGGAGGCATACAAAACCAGTGGATTCTGCTCAAGGGACACTTTGTGTGCTTCTTCCCTGACCATACTCCAGTCTAAATCACAGGGCTCAGCAATACCTATAGGCTCATCTGACTACCTAGCCAGCCAGGCACAAGCTCTAGGATCTCTAAACTTGTTCTTCTAATAATGATGTGTATGTGTTTAACAAATGTGGTATGGAGAGGAGTAGAGATGAGATGTGGAGTGGAAGGATGTCTACCAAGAGTAGCTGACATTCTCAGAAATACTTGTCTTCTCTTTATGGAAAATCTCTCCATGTGGTATTCCCCACACTCTAGCCCCTCTCACTATAGACCTGCTAGTCAGAGATTCATGACTCTTTCTATGAAAAGCCAGATTTTTACCACCCCAAATTTGTCCTTAAATATCTTTAAACTGAAGGGGTCAAGTTCTTGACAATAAGGACCATATGCTGGCTATATAGCTAATTCCCACTGGCTCTGATATGTGGAATTGTTGCTGCTGGTTGGCACAGGAGCCAGATGTGTTCAGCTCCCCTCCTCTGTGGAACGAGACTCTGATTTGAGTTTCACAAATTCTCGGGCCACCTCATCATTGCTCCTCTGAGACAGAATCCGGAGAATGGTCAAGCCTGTCTCATCCATGTGGATCTTCCGGCCCAAGGGGCACCAGCAGGCACAACTGCCTTTGGCTGCCACATCCCTCAGAGGCATCACAGCCAGCCCAAGCACGCGATCCTCCCGGGCAAAGCAGTAATCCTTCACGCATATTTGCAACTCATAGGCCTCTGGCCCTTCTTCATTTCCCAAGAGGCTGTGGGCACAAGACAGAGGAGAAGATAGGAGGCTGGAGCTGAGGATCTTAAACTGATTTCACCTCAGTGTGCCATCTAGCCTTCCCCAACCCCTCACTCTTCCCCAACCCCTCAAGTCTTACCCCTCAGATCATCCTCACCCCATAACTTACAAGTGGAATGTCTCGTTGTATTTGGGGGCCCAGTTGTTGCTTTTGGACTTGGTTGTGAACTTTCTCTTCTTATCACTTTGGTGTGGGCCAACCATGGTCACTTCTACAAAAGGCCGGAACATACCTGCAGTCTGCCACTTGAGGTCGTTGGCAGCAACCACTGCCAAAACAAGGGAAACATGTGAAGTAGTCCCACCAGGCATTCCTAGTTCTTGAGTCCCAGGTGACATTTCCTTTGGAGGAGGGCTGAGCTAGACGGATGAACAGTCCCTATCTCTGACTGATGAGCAAGGTTGCTGAGCAAGAAGAGAGCAGACCTATAAGTCCATACCACTCACCTTTCACTGTGACCTTGTGTTCCCCAGTACCAGGGTGTGTAAACAAGTCCACCTGAATAGACACTTCTCCCACAGGATCATCCACACCAGACCCTGAGGGATAGATGGACAGATGATCCCTTATTAGACACCTCTAAGACTTTAGGACCAATTTTTCCAGGTAACCTGAGGGGTTAGGAAGTCACAACCGTACACCCTATGGCAAGAATTACCCACAGAAACCACGGAAAAGTAAGCAATGGGAGAAAGGAAAGGAGGGTAAAGAATGAGGCTGTCTTTTGCAACACAAGTTAAGCTAACAGCATCTTAGGGACATCTTCTTCCAAAAATGCACTAGGAATCTTTCAGGATCCCCAAACCTCTCCTATCTTTAAAACTGAAGAATTTTTCATTGAAAGATGTTAGGAAAGGGCAGTGCTGTCAACTTGTACCTGTGTCTAGGAACTACATCCACCCTATGGTGTCTCTTAATGAAACAATGTGGGTCTTCTCTAAAAGCAAAAACCTCCCACCTGTCTCCAGGTTTCCTAGAGACCACTAGTTGAGATGCTGCCCTACTCAGAAAGACTTCATCCTGCCCAAGCCTAGACCCTTCCACAGAACAATTCCCCAGTTCCAATCTGCAGACTCCTCTCAGCAGAGGCCCTTCCCCATTTTGAGAAAACACTAGTACCCCGTGACCCAGATAAAACCTTTCTTTGTCCTGAGGTGGAGGGGTGGGGGAACTCTGAGGAAAGGACAAGGGTCAACAAAAGAACCCTTCCTGGGCTATATGAATACACTGCCCATGTCTAACACTTGGGATAGTTTCTGAACTTTGACACCTTATTCCTCCACTCTCAGCATGAGCTGCTCATTCTAGCTCACAGGGGTCAGCGTTAGCCCATGTTAGATCCATATCTTCATGGCATATAACATACCCTTTTCCGGCCGAATGTCCTCATTAGCAGTAAACCTAATACCTTTTCCATCATGCACTGAATGAGAACAGGCAAGTCAAGAGGTAGTAGCAGCAGCAGGACAGAGAAAGAAGAATCAGTTAGAGGTCTAAAGAGTTAACAGCCATTCAAAGCAGCTCTACACATACTATGAGGGAGGGCAGAGGGGGCTGGGGTTGGGTAGAGAAAGAAGTCGCAGCTGGGCTCAGTGCTTGAGTATTCCAAATTAGACTTTGTGGGTCAGAGATCAACCAAATCATGGCAAAAGCAGTAGAAAACAGAGAAAGTATCTCAGGGCAAGCAGGGCAAGGATGGTTACAGGCTCTAATTTCCTAAGGCCTTAAATGAGAAAGAAACACACACCCATATTTTCATATTATCACTGCAATTTTCACCCCTGCTCTTACCTCTTATGTACCCACCATTCTAGCCTCTCCTTTTCCCTTATGTACCTTAAAGCACAATGCTTCTAAAAAGTCCTTCAGGATTAACTTAGATCAGCCCTGATGATCTAAGCTCTGTAAAATTCTCCCTGTCACCTTGAGCAAGACCCATAGCTACTTCTTTTGCTCTCTCTTCTTCCCACCTGGACTGGAAATGAGAGCAAATGTGGAAAATTAAGCAGTACTGCAGGTCTTGCCCAGCTTCTCACCTTCTATCACCTCTAGTCTAACTGTTTAGACCCCTTTCCCCTCCAGGTCAGCCTCCAACTCCCTCTCCAACAGGTTCATTCTCCCAGGCAGCCTGTTCAGGTTTCCCTGGAACAAGCAATAATAAACATGATTGAAGGTGCCTCCTGGGAGGGCTCTGCTCAAGGGTCAGGTCAGAACTTCAATCTGAGCCACAGCTATGCAGGTGTGTTTTGTTTTGGACAAGACTGGCTAGAGGCAGGGAGGGGCTCTGAGGACTGAAAGTCACTGGGAAAAATCCAGTGGCCAGGGTTCCTTGTGCATAAGCTGGAGCCTCAGCTGTGCACAGGGCCCCGTGACTCACACCTTCTCTTCAGCTGCCCCCAGGCTTTGTCTCTTTTTTCATCTCCTTGTCCACACTGGAGAGTCAGGAAAGTCTTTTGCTCTCCTTACCCAAGACAGCTCTCAGCAAGCCTCCCAAAGCTATGAACATTCGTAAGTTTCTCATAGCTTCCTCACATATTTTTCCGTCTGCTCACAACAGCCAGGGTACACTCCTTGAGCTCAATAAACATGCACTGGCCAAGCAATGTCTGGGAAAAGACATTCCTGTGATTCTCTTGTCAGGTGTGGGTATCAACTGGAGGCTAAGTATTGAGGTCTCATCAAAAAATTCAAGAGCTGAGTTAGAAGGACTTTCTGAAGAAATAACTGGATCCTCTCCCAAGAACACAAAGATACTGACTCCCTAGGGGCAGATATATGTCAGAGAGCAGAGCTGGGTCTCTGCCCTTAGGGTCTTACCCTGGGCAGTCTGTGAGCGCACAAAGGTCTTGATGAGAGTGTCTGTGGTCTGTGTGTACAGAGACAGGGCATAGCGTAGGGACTGCAGATCTGGGCTCTTCTCTAGGAAGGTTTTCTTTAGCCCATTGCCGCCTGCATGGAAGTATTGCTGAAAGATAAAAGGGCACCCGCTACTGCTTCATCCCCTTACAGAGAGGAAGCTCCCCAGTGCTACCCTCAGAGAAACAGGAAATGACTTTGTGAACAACAGGCCATTTGGGAACACCAGGAGAGCCAGAGTTACAGCCTCTCAGGTAAAGGGAACTGGGTATTTGGCAGGAGCAGTAGGGGATGGCCACATTCCTGGAGGTGGTCCTGTTTGAAGGACAGGCCTATCTAGACAAGCACAGAAATGGAATAGAAGCATATCAGGAAGAGAGACTAGTCAAAAGTGCTCTCCTACTCTCTATGAACCTTAGCGAATTTGATACTTTTGACATACCTCTCCCAAGTGCCTTGAATCAGGTTCATAGGTTCCTGACTTATTATTACTTTACCAATGAATTGTAAGTCTCTTGAGCTTAGGAACCATATCTGATTCTCTCTGTATCCTTGACAATGTGTAGTGCCTCTCTTCTGAATGTGGACAGGTAAAAGCCTGAGAATACCCAGTCTGGCAGAGCGGGATGCCCGGGCCAAGTGCATGTGGTCATGAAGACTAGAAAAGAGGGAGGTTTTTACCTTGATGGTGTCCAGGGCAAGGTCGAGAACAGCACACTGCTTTGGAGTAAGACTCCTTGTTTCTTCTCGTGCCATGTGGTCCTGGAACCCCAGAGAAAGCAGCAGCCTCAAGACAGCTCAGATGGTCCTGGAAGTCTTGCCCCCACCTGCCAGCCCACAGCTGCCCATTCCCCTCCTTCCCTTCTTTTTTTTTTTTTTTTTTACCTCCAAAGCTCTGATTTCCTTCCTCCCAGACACCCTCTCCATCTAGCCTCAGAAGGACCATGCTTGTCAAGAGGACCCCCCCACCCTGAGTACCTTGAGTTTGGAAAGATGGCTCAGTTCCTTGGCCGCAGTGAAGATCAGCTGGGTGCCCTGGGTAGAGAGGGGATCAGTCAAAAGCAGAGGACCACAAACTCCAGCAGGAAGTGAGGAGTGAGGGGAAGTGAGACAAGAGGAAGAAGTGGAAGGAGGCATCCTTACCGTCTGGTCAGTCAGAGGGGGCAGAACAATCATCCTTTCCATTGTGTTCATCACAACCCTCCAGAGCTCCTTCAGTACACGCTTCAGAACTGTCTTCTCACATACAGTGGCAAAGAGCGTGAGGCTGCAAGCCCAGACAACAAACAGGTGATGCTAGGGCAAGAGTTTGAGAGCCTCCCTGCCAAGAGTCTCCTCTGTCTTATGGCCTGTACTTGGCCCATCCCCACAGGACAGCCCTGAGCACTGTACTCACTTGCTATCCAGGAAGTCCATGAGAGGCCGGAGCACACTATCTGCATCCTGAGCCACTGAAGCCCGGGCGTTGGGCGATGCATTCCCTGTTCCCCGGACCTGGCCCAGGATGTCGGCCATTTGTCGAACACATTCATCAATCCGTACCTGGAAACTACACATGTGCGCACAGTGCATCCCTTCCCTCCCCAAACATACACTGTCCCTGGAATGGCACCAGCTATTTGGTCTCATTCCTGCCTACTCATGCTGCAGCCACAGCAGGGGCAGTCAGTAGAGTTGAGGAAGGATCCACACATCGGCAGCCAGATGGGTGGGTGTGGAGCAGGGGCTCTGGGATTGGCCAAGGACCATACCTAGCTCTAAGGGCTGTGTTTTGGGGCCACTGACCTGTTTCCAAACACCACGCTGAGCTCATCCAGAACTGTATTCAGTTTCACCTGCAGCTCCTTCAGACTGTCTGCAGCTTCAGGGTCCAGCTGTAGCCATAGGAAGTGAGCCTAGCTAGGCTGCTTCTCTGACTCTCTTCACCCCTGCCATGCCCCTACTCCCTTCTAGGGCCTTAACCCAATGCCTATCTCACATTAAGCCAGCCCAGGACCACATGGCACCATGGCCAAGCCAATACCTAGTGAAGACAGGGTGGAGTTCTGTAGCCAGGGAGCTCAGAAATAAAGGGAAAATACAGTTACCCTAAGATTCTAAGACTTACCTCCTTGCCTCCCATGGCCTCAAACATTTTCTCCAGCTGAACCCTCAGTTGCTGCATGTTGTTCATCAGGATGCAGGGCTTGGGGACAGATGGAGATGTTGAGTCTTGGCTCCTTTTAGCATAGGACCCACTAGTCTAGAGTTGCTCTCTCCTTCACACTATTTCGGAAGCCACAGGGACTTCACATATTACACATGTCTAAACACTAAGATCTAGAGCAGTGATTTTCAACTGGTGTGTCACAGCACACTGGTGTGCAGTGAGAGGATCTTAAGTGTGCCTAAGATCATTAATTATTTTTCAAAGAAGTTCAAAGCACAGTATTGTAACTCTTTTTTTTTTTTTTGATCAATGTAATTTAAGTGTGCTGCAGAAGTTTAACTATAGGTTCAAGCATGCTATGAGATAAAAAAAGGTTGAAAAACACTGCTCTAGAGTCACTTCAGACAATTCTTCTAGAACAAACACTAAAAGCAAATGATTTTATCTTTTAAGCTGGATGGTAGGTATTCAAGTATTCATGATATTATCTTTTACAACTCTCTGAATGCCTTAAAATTTATTTAAAAGACTAAGCAGAGGTCTAGCTTAGCAGAGGATAATGTATCAAATGGAGACTGAGAGGAACTCTGTCAAGGTCTCATTCTGTGGCATGGATCTCGAGGGAAGTCGTGATGGCCATCAGGTCAGGAGCATCATCCTGATCCGGAGCTGTACAGATAACTTCAAAAGCAAGAATTCAAATGTCCTGTACTCTTTCTCTAGGAGTCCCAGGGCCTGACCCTACCAGTTTCTCCTTTGTGCAGTAAGCTGGGAAGTTCTTTGATAAGATGTCTGCGTACTGCATCAGCACCTTCCCAATGGTCTGAGAAAAGAAGAAAAAAGGAAAGAAGATGGAACTCTTAGCTTTCCACACAGGACTCTTGTAACTCTGAGGTTACACTTCTTCTCCCAGGACAACAGGGAGGTAAAGGGGAAATCTCACAAGACAGAGCTCCCTCTTGACCACAGAATAGTTCTGAGACAGACCTATCTGTCTTCCCCAGACACAAGCAAAGGAGAACAGGGTAAGGCTTTACCTGAAGGTCACTGTAAAGAGAGCTTGAGCTCAGGCCTATGACTAGCACAAGTATGGTAGCGGTAAGGGAAAGGAGGGAAGGTGGAGGGAAGATCATGGTCACCTTAGTAAATCTCCTCATGTAGTGGGCAAGGATGCTGGGGTCTGGGCATTCCAGCTTCCGGATGATCTCAAAGCTCTGGTTGAGTTGTGTGAAGACATCCACCACAGAGCAAGAAAAGAGTGCATGCTCTGATGTCTGCTGGAACTAAGAAAGACCACAGGGTCACTGACCACAGACAGGGTCACTATCCACAGCTGCTACCTTTTCCCAAGCTCATAAAGTTCAGAAGGGCTCCACCCAGCCGGGGTGGCTCAGTGGCCCTCAACAGCTATCCTATGGACTATGCAAGGAAAGGATAGCCATCTTGGCTAACATTGAGGAATTTTTGCCAAAAGCTAATTACCAGGAGACGTGGCCTGGGCCCTGTGCAGCTTACCCCATCCTTCTTATCTCGTTCCAGGGCCCCATGCAGGAATTCCAGGGATACATCCTCATTCTCATCCAGCCACTGAAGCACAAACTGCTCAAACCACCTGCAGCCAGAGTAGAACTAGAGTTTAGAAAACCAGCATACGCCATGTACCTGACAGCTCCATCAGACTGGGATCTTCCATAAGACAGGACATGGTTTGACACTTTTTTCTAAAGCAGTGTACGAGACAGGATTGCTGAACTAAAGCCATACCCACCCAAAGGACCCTCTTTCCTTCCCTCTGTAATGCCCCCAAGATGACTCACGCTGGGTACTCAGGCACCTGCCCCTGGAGGGCAGGCAGATCCCGCACATATTCATTGTGGAGCCACTTCACCTTGAAGTGCAGATTCATGTAGTCAGCGCTCTTACACAGCCGGTCTTTTTCATGCTCTAGTGGTGAGGAGGGAGGCTGGGTCAGGTCCCCGCAGTAGAGACCATGGCTCCTGAGCCTTCCCAAGGGAGGAATTCTGGACAGGCAGCTTTATCTCATGTCTCAGGACAAGGGTGATTACCAACCTCTTTCTTACAGCCATCTGCCCCCTACCAGTGTTCTGTTCAGCAACTCTCCAAGAGCCTGATCCAAATCTTCCTCTAGAAAGACTAAGCCAGACTCCCAGGTTAAGCCTGTATTCTTCTTGCTCTAGCTTTTAGAAGTACAAAGTGAGGTCACTGGCCTCTAGTGGAGAAGAGGAGAGAGGGCTGTGTGTGCTAAAGCTAATTAGCAGAGAGACACCCAGGACTAGAGAGGAACAGTAGTTTTCCAGGCTTTTCTAATCCTGGTGGCTGGGTCATCCCTCTGATAGGTTTCATGGCAGAGATGAAGGGGTGTGCATGGCATGAATGGGTCAATGACAATTACACAGAGATAGGGAGTACCACAGTGAGCCTGAGGTGACTGAAGGAGCAGTTGAGTAGCTGGTATCACAGAATCCTGAGGCAAACTGAAAGGCTCCAGAGCACAGCTGAGACACTGAGAGAACTAGTTCTTGGAAGTATGCAAATAAGAACAGTCAGTTTGGAAACCATGGAAACATAGCCAGAGAAAGGATCATCATGCTGCAGAAAATGGGACACGTAATTATGGACTTGAAAAGTCATCTAGCTGAATCTCCAGAGCCTTCTGGAAAATCTAGGACAAAGATCACTCACAGCTTACTCAGAGAGTTCTGATTCCTGGCCACACCCAGAGGTTATCTTCCTCTACCCTCTTTAAAGTTGAAGAATTAATTTGAATAATAAAAGTCAATTGTGTGCTAACACACAACATAAAGGTAAAAGCAAGCAAATAAGAGAAAATACTAAGCAACAGAGCAGGGAAGGCCGGTGTCCTGGGGACTCTATGCCATAGGTGAAACTCCTCTAAGTCAAGTCAGAGCATCTCATCTGGGGCAGCTGGCCCTGTGAATCAGTGCAGCAGACACTCAAGGAGATAATGGGAGCCCAGGATTCAGCCTTGTAAAGGTTCTAGTCCCAGGGATTTTATCTCCTGGCTCTACAGGCAGCACTACCCCAACCTAAAGTCGCACTTCCAGTCTCTTCTATGAGGCAGTAAACAGAAGAGGGAAAAGGTATAAGACTAAAAGCAAAGGGACAACAACCAAAAGTTCTTACCACCCAGAAAGAGGACTTTTCGTATACGAATGACAGTGGTTGCTTGTGATAGAGCAGAGATACCAATGAGCAACAAAGAGAGTGAAAAAATCAAGGACATCAGAGACCCTTTCTTCCACACCCAGCCCTTGCTGTCCTCAAACCAGTCTAAGAATCCAGGAGGATAAAAAGGTACCACCAGGAGGGCCTTCCTCCTTCCTGGTCAGCAGCCCACCAGAAAGGTATGCAGGGCAGGGGGTTCATCACTCCAGAACTGCCTAACTCTTTTAGAGACCTTACTACATTTACATATAATTCTCACTTTCTTTATCAATTCATATCTATACCCTGGCCCCAAGCCACAATTTCTACATTAACTTATGTGGTGTAAAAACTAACAGATGAATGCTGAAATGCTGGTCACACTTTAAACCATTGTAACAAGTCCCATGGAGTCATGCTCCAGTAATGTTGCTTGAGGTTGTTATATGTGTGTATGTGTGTTTATGTGGCAGGGGTATCTCTCAGAAGGGGCAATCATGTATCCATAGCCTTCTGCCCCTGACTTCTATTTTCTTCCCTACATTCATCTTTCATCTTGGAGAGTTCTTTCAAACTCATGGTTTCAACTCTCCAGTTAGCTGGCATCTCCCCCAAATCTCCCTTTGCTTCTGATAATGTTCATAAATGGTTTTGATGGAACATCTCTCATTGTGCCTGGATTTAACTCTAGTTCCCATCTCTTACCATTGTAACATCTTCAGCTAAAGTGGAACAAAGCATACCAACTAATCTTACCCCCTTGATCAATGCTGAACATCATCCTGAAATCCTCCTTCTTCCTCTTTACTCACATCCAGTTAAATCACCAACCTCTGATTTCACCTCAAAAATGTCTCTGGAATTTATTTCCTTCTAGCTACACTATTAGTTTCTTAGGTCTCATTACCACTACCTCGAACCTATATTACCACTAGAGCCTCCAGACTGGTCATTCCCCTTCCTATCCATTCTCCACAGAATGAGTGCCCTTTTTACAAGATAAATCTGATCATGTCAACCCTTTTCTTAACACACATCTTAACTGTCTCACAAAAGCCTACAAAATATACATGGCTTACAACTTCCTTCATGAGCTGGCTCTGTCCTCCTCACTTATCCTCACTTCTCACTCTTTCCCTAGCCTCGGAAGTTCTGGTCACACTGAACTGCTGCTTCCAGTTCTCTAAGCATGCTAGCTCTCTCTAGTCCCCACGTCTTAAACATGGCATGGTGTACCCTCTGCATGAATTTGTGTCCCTTTCTTGTTACTACTTTCTCCCTACTCCCCACTGGCTAAATCCTATCATCCTTCAAGTTTCAGCATGTACATCACCTCTTTCAGGAAGCCTTCTCAGGTCCTTAGAGTATGGGTTACATGGTACTCCTGTATGTACCCTAATACTTGTTCCTTTTGTGGCTCTTATGATTTGTACTGTAATGGCCAATTTATATGTCTGTTTTCTAGACTGGTCTGCAAGCTTCTCAAAGACTGGGGCTATGCCTTATTCATCCTCTTGGAGCTCCAACAACTGGCACAGCACCTAACCATAGAGAAAACACTCTAAAAACCTGGTAAATGGACTGGGAATTTACTGCAAAGGGGTAGGAAGAAACTTTCCATTCCATATTTTAACTGGGAGTGTTGTTACATAGATGTGTTTATTTGTCAAAACTCAAATTGTATTCTTAAAGTGTTTTTATTTTATTATATGTAAATCATACCTCAATAAAGTTGACTTACAAAATATCTGATGAAGAATAGCATTTTCTTTTTTTTTTTTGAAACGAGCCTCAAGCTATCCCCCTGGATAGAGTGCCATGGCATCACGCTCACAGCAACCTCCAACTCCTGGGCTCAAGCGAGTCTCCTGCCTCAGCCTCCCAAGTAGCTGGGACTACAGGCGCCCGCCACAATGCCCGGCCATTTTTTGGTTGCAGCCATCATTGTTGTTTGGCGGGCCCGGGCTGGGGATTCGAACTCGCCACCTTAGGTGTATATGGCTGGCGCCTTAGCCGCTTGAGCCACAGGCGCCGAGCCAAGAATAGCATTTTCAACTTCCCTTTCACAGTTAGAGTCAACACTATCCTATCATCCAGGCACCCAAACACATTCCCTTCTCAGGCCCTCAGTATTCTGACAATCACTAAGTCTTGCAACAACTTCCTTCCAAGTCTATTAAAGCCCATTCTTTCCTCTCCACTTTTCTGTTCTAATCCCAGCCCCCTCCCCTCATCTCTAAATCATTATATCAGCCCTTCATCATCTGCATTCTCTGCTTCTATCTTTCCCTACCGAGCTGCCCCTATTTTCTAATGAGATAAAATCTTATTAAAATACTACTTTGTTCATGTTGTAGCTCTGCTATCAGCTTATAATGGTTTCTTATTCTGCTTAATAACTAAGACTTATTCAGTGTTAAGTAAGTGCCAGGCATTATACTAACTATGTTATATACATCTCAGGTACTTCATCAGCTCAGTGAAATAAAAGCTGTCATCACCTCCATCTTACAGATGAGAGAATGGGAGTTCACAAAAATTAAGGGGTTGGGTCCAAAGTCATACTGCTAAGGAGGTAGTAAAACTGAGATTTGAAACTAGGTCAACACTGGTTCTTTCTCCTAAAGTAGGAGTTTGAGTTTTCAATCCCTTTGTGTTTGTTTTAAACATTAGCAGAACTCCCCTTTCAAACGAGATCTCAGGTAGAATCCCATATAAGGTTGATAAAATTGACTCAGCTAACAGCAAGTAAAAGGCCTGAAGCCCAGCCCATTGGTTTCCCCTTTTAATTTAGCTCCTGAGATAACTTCTTTCTGAAAAACTCTACTCAACCTCATAATATGCCTCTTGTAGCCTCCATTTTTTTATATGTATTTTTCTTTTCCCCCAAACCCCTGGAGATGGAGCTCTTCAAGAAGTGAGACCATTCTCCTCATCAGGCTTGCTAAGTATTGCCTATGGAAAGGGACAGGTGATCTCACTGGTCCAACAGGCTAAGGGTTACAACACAGTGTGGCAGAAGGTAGCCACTGCTCTGAGGCTACATCACAGAATATACCTGCACAGTTTGTTGCTGGCTCAAACTTAACATAGATCTTGAAGGTTTCTTTTAATCTCAAGACTCACTGATTCTAAATCTCAAAAGTTCAAGTGTCTGAGAGCGACCCATTTGTCCTGCCACTCTATACAAATAATAGATCTCGACTCTACTTTGCCCTTGCCCAGATAGCTCCTCTGCCTTCAAGATCCACTTTCACAGACTGAGGAGACAGACTAATACATACAAACAGGAGAGGTAGATAGACTAATATATATATATATATATATATATACACACACAGATAGATAAGCACAGATGGGTACAGATGGAAAGTCTGATACAGGTAGGGAGTGATAAGTGATGATCTCTGTGGTCTAAGGTGGAAAATGAATAAATGGATAAGCTGAATGAATAGGATATACAATAATTTTCCTGTGGCCTTGTTCTACAGGAGAAGTGAGGGAAGAACTATCTTCCTGGCTTGGTCTCCTAATCCAGAGCAGCTTTCAAGGAAAGCCAGGCCAGAGAATCCCCAGTATGAGAAAACAACTATTATCTATGTATTTAAGGTTCTCTGATTCTTTAAAACTGTAAAGTATCCCACCTGGGAACCCCCACCATGGGAGGAGTTGATCTCTTGGCTAGGAAAAGTCTCAAACAGGCACTTACTCTAAGCTATAAGGAGGATCCAAATACACACAGCCTTTTATTTTCATTATTTCCCTTGGCTGTAGCTAGCTTTGTTCATCTAAGGCCTTCTGAGGCCTGCTTTACACCATGCCTACAATCATTTTAGTCTGTCGCTATTCCATGCACCCAGAACTTGTAGTTGTCTGAGAGAGGAAAGGGACAACAAACAAGGTGCTCAGGCTAGGAGCCTGGCAGCCCACTGAAGCAGGCAGACCCTTACCCTCCAATGCATATTTCATGTCTTGGGCAAACAGATGCCACATCACTTCTGCACTGACTTTTCCTACATTCAACTCCTGAGGAAACCTGGATAATGGAAGAAACCACAGTTAGAATAATACAAGAGCTATTTGATTTTATTAATTCCAAGGCTAAAGTGCCTAGTTCTTAGAGGTCATACTGGAAAGCAGAGGAGCCTAGGGACTAGGGCTAGGCTCAATCTGGAGAAAAGGGGTCCAGGAGCCAGTGGTAGAAAAATTAGGGGCAAAAGGGATCCACTTAGGTAAAGTAGGCCCAGGGGAGAGGAAGTCCAAAAGGCAAGGAACTGAGATTCAAGAGAAGCTGGAAGGCAGGCCAAAGCTAAATAAGCTGGAGAAGAAAGGGCAATGGGGTGGGCCATAAGGCAGCCCACTTTATTCACAGTAGCCAGACACATACACACATGGTCTTTGGATCCCCTGGGGCTCCCAAGGCAGCAGCCATAGTCCCCAAAGCCTCTCACTCCAGGGAGGCTGGCTCAGTCTGGGCAGGGGCCCCAATTCTGTTTCCACACTTGTCTCCAGAAACAGTTACCCAGACAGATACAAAGGACAGAGGGACAGATCGATGGACAGGAGGAAGAGGTGGCACTGCAAACATACAGAGATAGGAGGAAAGAAAGAGGTTGTTAGACAAATGGACAGACCAACCACCAAGTAGACGGGACCAAGTAGGGTGATACTCACTGGTTCAGAACAGGTGTATAAGAATTCTTATCTTCCTCTATGATCGACACAATGAGTGTGATGAGTTTGGGCCAGAAATCCAGGTTCCGAATGCTGGGCCCTTGTTCCTCTGGAGGTAGTTCCTGCTTCTTGTTCCATAGTAGATAGTAAGAAAGAGGAAGAGTCAGAGGAGAATGTGGAATTCTCCTCTTTATCTTCCCCTCCCTATTCCCCTTCCTCTACAATCAGGGACCCTTCCTTTCCCTAGGCCTGTCTTCTCTAAAACTGGCCTTCTTCCTCTGAAAATGACTACTGGGAGATTCTTGAGCACAGAGAGACAACCTGTGAGAAATTCTCCGGGACACTGCTGTGATAAGCTTGATCAGTCTAGGAAACATAAAAAGGTGCCATCCCCTTCCTCCTCCTCTCAGTTGCTATGGGTAGAGTGACAGCCTGGCTGAAGCAAGCAGCCTCTCCAGCTCTGCTAAGTAGGTCTAGGTCTAAGTGACCCCAATAGGAAGCCCTCTTCTTCTGCTGCTGTTCCTCATCTGACACCCACCCCCCCATCCTCCCATCTGCCCCTGCCCCAACACACACAGCTCAGCTCTAAGAAGTGCCTTGAATATCTGCAGGAGTGACTGAATAGAACTAGCATGTATTTTGGCTTTATTTTCAGTGGGGTAGGACTGTCATTAGGGTGAAGAACTACCTCTAAGAAGCTATTTGCCTAGCCAGATAAGAAAAGGCCTTGCTTGGGAAAGGAATCCATGATAGATCTCAGGAAAAGAGAAGTCACTCTATATTCAGAGCCCAGACAACACAAGTAGGGGTCACAACAGAGAGGCTGGAATGGACATTACCTCCCACTGAGGCAAAGGCAGAGCTGCCCAGAAAGATAAAGGGCTTTTATATGGATGTCATATGTCACTGAAAAGTCTTCATGGTTCTGAATAAGCCTGTGTTATTCAGAAGTTACCAGAAACCAAGAAAGAATCTACATCCTATTGATTCTACCTCTGTAATATCACTTAAATATGAGTAAACATCTCTTCCTTTTATTATTTCTCCACTATCCTGGCTCAGGCTCTTATCATTCAAGACCTCCTCACTGGTCTCTCATCTTCAATCCAATCCCTCTTCTTTGCAGTTGTCAGTGATCTTTCTACCAGGAAAATATCAAAATGTTACTCCTCTGCTTAAAGCTCTTCAATGGCTATCAATAAAGTAAAACTCTGTAGGCTGACACAAAGGTCCTCCAGAATGTGACTGCTCAATCTCATACCTTACCACTTCTCTCTTGCTGTAGCCATCACAACACCACTATCACCACTTATTTAGTCCTTATTGTGTGCCAGGCACTGTGCCAAGAACTTTACACACATCATCCCATTTAATCCTCACAACAGCTCCCTTGAGTAAAAATTAATATCATCTTCATTGACAGGTAAAGAGAATGAAGAGCACAAGGTTACATGACTTGCCCAAGGACATGGAGCTGTAAATAGCAGAACTAAGATTTGATCCTAGATTTCTGGATTTCAAAGCTGATGCTATAACTACCCTAATTAAATTGCTTATATTTCCTTAAATTAACATATTCATGCATAGTATCACCATACGGTCTTCTCCTCCCTTCCAGCCCCTTTCTTTAGCTAATTCCTACTCTTCCCTCAAAATTCACATTGAACTTAACCTCTTCTGAGAAGTTTTCTCTTGACAGCCCAGGGCTGGTCAGATGCCACTCTTCTGGGCTCCAAGAGTACACTCTGTGAACCTCTGATATTGACAAATCAGACAACTCCAACAACAATAAAATGTTTAACAACAAAATAATAAAAACTAATAATTGTAGTAATTTGCTCCCACCTCCACCAAACAGTGAGGTCCCCAAAGGCTGACATGTGTTTCATTCAACTTTATATCTTTAGTGCTCTGCTAAATGAATAAATAGGTGAATGAACCAATGACTAAAGGTCAGTAGGTGGAAATTTTAAAAGATACCATGGGTTTATTCCAGTGCAAATACTGAATAGGGAAAAAATGCAGTTGAGAGAAAGTAAAAAGCAGATAGCAAAATAGAAAGGCTAAAGTGAGTCCCTGAATAGTTTAAGCCCTCTTTCAAAGTCCAGTTCATTCTCATGCCAGGGAATGAGACCACATATTCACATAGATGCCTGCATAGTTGAAAAATCAAAGCTGAGAACAGTGTCTTCCCCCAACCAGACAGAAACCATAAATGGATGACAGAGGAGCTCATTGTTCATAGCCCAGGAGCAAGTGAACAAAGGCCTCAGGAAAATTTCCTATGGACTTTAGAACCAATGGAAAGGTTTATAAAACCTTAAAAGGAGGAAGCCTTAAATATATGTCTGGTACAAAAAGTACATTTAGGAATGAGAAGAGGCAGCATGAACAAGATCTTAGTCTTTACTAAGGTGATCCTAGGAAGCGTTATAAATTAGATATATTCACCAAAAGAAAAATGTCCCAAGAGATTTAAGTTGCCCAAATCATCCTCTCATTTAAGGTCTATCTCAAATTCCCCTAATTTATGTAGCTTTTCCCAATATCTGATCAAGAGTGACTACCTCCTCCTTGGAATGCTTTTAATCTTATCCCTTTTTCAAGGCTCTTCTAACACACTGTTTTGGTTGGAGTTATATATGTGCTCATGAGACTGCAAACTTGCTGAAAAAGCACTGCAGTGGCCTAAAACATTCAACATGTGTTTGTCAGACTGAAAGGATCTACTCTGCACATTTATGGTCAGCAAGATACTACTGATATAAAAACTGAAATGGAGGGCAGAGGGGGAATGATACTGTGTAAGGATCTAGAAAAATATAGTAAGTCTCCAAGTATTGGGTTAGGATGCCAGACTAAAACAAGTGAAACAGATCAGCTTCACAGGAAGATACAGTCAGCCTTGATGAATAGAACTCAGAAAAACCAATCAGAGGGAAAAGTTAAATGTCTAAGAGCCAAGTAGCTCAAAGAGACAGCTACAGATCTCAGAGGAAGGCATTGCAGAACTTACATGAGTCTATATGACTCAGAATAAAATTAGCCATGGGGAAGAAAAAAAAAATTTCTGGAGTGGACTGAGAATTTACCTACTCAACCCACAAACTGCATGAATTCAAGTTCACTTTCTTCACCATCAAGTGAAAATTCTCATTGCCATTTCCATTCAACTCAGTTATGCCTTATCTTGTCCAAGAGTCCCTTTCATCTCCACGTTTCATATGGTTGAGATGGTCCATACTCTATAACTCACTCACTTGCAAGAATTTTAAGTACCCTGTCCTGAGTTCCTTTCCACCTTGACCACAGCAAAGGAAAGCTAAGGCTCCAAAAAGCTAGTGACAGCTGGCCCCACATAATCCCAGACTTCTTACCAGCTGATATTGGCAGCTGTATAAGTCATGGCAGTTGTTAAAGATATACTCATATGTAGAGTTCAAACAGGCCTTCACACAATCCTTCACCACCTGGCTGGCTCGTGGAGGGCTTTGCAGTTCTTGTACCTGCCAATTAACAGAAGAAATATAGACCCAGGGTCCTCCTTACCTGTGTGGGATAACCTCTTAGCACTCCCCCAAACCTACTCTAGATTCCTTCATCCCTCTACAGTGCCTAGACCAGCGGTTCTCAACCTGTAGATCGTGACCCCTTTGGGAGTCTCCTGCATATCAGATATTTACATTACAATTCATAACAGTAGCAAAATTACAGTTATGAAGTAGCAACGAAAATAATTTTATGGTTGGGGGTCACGACAACATGAGGAACTGTATTAAAGAGTTGCAGCATTAGGAATGTTGAGAACCACTGTCCTAGACCTTGCCCTGGTGGTAAAATTGCCAGATTAGCTGATGGGGAGAACTTCCAGCCTATCCTTATTGATCCATGGTCTATGTAATAAATCATAAGTAACCCACGAAAAGCTAAGCTTAGAGATGATAGATCCTATAGCCTCAGACTTTGCCAAATGATTCCCAGCCCAGCACTTTCCCTGACCCATTCCACCCCTTACCTTCATTCTGAAGAAAGTAATGCTGGTCAGCAAGTCTACTGTGGATTTTAAGTCCTGAAGTCGCTCAGGACTCCCAACAGGGAAATTATTCTGTTGCAAATCAAGGAAGTATAAGAAAGGAACAGAGGAATAAGAAAGCTTTCCCTGCCAAAAGTGATGAAATCAAAAGCTTTTCTAATACCCGCTAGGATTTTCTCTAATTGAGCTGAGTAAACAAAACAAAACAAAAACCTGTAATATCACAGTCTTCCTCTCTTTTCTATTGATGCAGAAAGCCCCTGGCCAAAAGCAGGGTTAACAGCCCCAGCCCAGAGAGCAACACGTCCTACCCTTAACCCTACTTCACATGCAATGTGTGAGCATCTGTACAAATGAACACAGACACACAGACACACACATTTACACATATACCCACAGCTTTCTTGAATGACGATTCTTAAACAGTGAGCTCTTCAAAAGTTACAATCTAACTGTATATCCTGGAATATACATGGAGCCACACTATGGACCAAAGTGATATCCAGGACCTGGAGTGTCCATACAGCAAAGCCCAGCAGATAGCAGAGCTCCGAGCAGAAAGGCATTTGGAGTGAGTTCCTTAGGAATTGCCCCACATCCTTATTTCATTCCCTTTGCCATGAGCTTTAGGAGGAAGATGCCACAGAGAGCTGGACAGAGATGCTGAGCCACTCTTCACTTTAATAATCAGTTTCTTAAACCTCCAAATGGCTATTTATATGCCAAAGATAAGATATACGGCCAACTCTCCATTATTCATGCAAATGGAGAGCACTCAAAATGCAGATAATTAAAACTTCACTTCTTTTTGACTTTGAGGTTGTTTTTATACTTACTTTTCAATGTGCATATATTGCCTGTTCTGGAAATTCACAACACCTTAAAGCAAGTAATGAAGACATCCTAAGATCTAACTTAGGAGGAACTAAGAAACTGCCCATTTCCTTATCCTGCCCCACCCCCGGTACCCACTCCTACCACAACTATTTTCTCCTTCCATACTAGGAATGGACATGACCTCTGATCCAAATTACTTGCCCAAGCCAAGCTATCCTCTGCCCTTCTAGTCAGATTCTCACACCTCCCCTGGAAAATGAGGAAAGTATAGAAAAATTCAAAAAAGAAATGTAGTTAAATAATTAATATTTTTGTTGTTGTAGCATTTATTCACTAAAGTATTTAATTTTTAAAAGGGTATTTCTGGCAGAGATTATCTTCAGGAAACTCCCTAATGACAATAACATCAGACTTTACTAGCGTGGTAAGAGTAGGGCTGGAAAGCCATTTGTCTAGAAAAAGCAGCTGTATTTATACACTGTATGGTACTGGGAGTCAGATAGGTGTGAGGATAAAGACTGATTTCTCCTGCCTTCAATCTCTATAGTCAAGACTGGCCTACAGTCTCCCTAGACTGAGCTTGACATCTATTTATACCACCCCACAGTCACATCTTCACTCACCCTGTACATAGATAGGTCAATCCTCAGTGAGTTGTGGAGTTGGTCCAGCAGTTTTACAAATCTCTCTTTCTGAGGGTAAGAAACACATAATGGGAAAGAAAGAGAGAACCTGTGTCTGAGTTCCCTAAAACATAGCAGAAAGAGAACTACCTCTGGGTGAGCAGAAAGAGGGAGAGACATTAGGCTGGAGGCACATCTTGTCCCACCCCTGCCCATAGGAAGAATAACAAACAATGTAAGGGAAAAATGGGATAGGTAGTCCCTGTTCCATTACATGGCATGAGCTCTGTCTCACACTAGGGAATCTTCTCACATTGACAAGGGAAAAGCCAAATCCTTGGGAGAAGAAATAGCTTTCTATACAAGAATCAACAGGACATGACCAGTGCTTCCTCATCTCTTTGGAACTATAATTTGTCTTATATAAAAAGAAGCTCCAAATATATTCTCCAACTTGTTCCTGAGCTGGAGACTTAACTTATCTTGGGGTAGCTGGATAAGTTAGGAGACCTAGCAGTGATGATGGGAGGGAAAAAACTGATGCATTTAAAAGATGATCAGGCAGATATGAGGGGTGTCCCTCTTTAAACCACATTCCACATAATTTCCTTTAGCATTTTTTAAATGTTAAAATAGATGATTTTCACCAAAAAGGTAAAATTAAATGTGGAATCATGTGCCTGTAGGGTGTTGGTATAGCACTCTTAGAACTTATATATTGATTACCTCATTAGATAGCAATTAAGTCAACATATAACAAGATGAGACAGAACGGAACAGATATTTGACTGGTTTAATCAATTACATTAATTTATCTACAGAAAGGATGGCAATAACAAAAGTGACTAGTACCAAAAAGTAAGACTCAGAGAGACTCAGTGGACTGGGGTAATGTTGGTAATTCTGCCTCTAAAATGGTAATCCTTGCGATGGGTCAGAAATAGGTATTTCATCCAGTTTATACTGAATTTATGTCAGGTGATATTCTGAATAATGACTCAACTTCTCAGTACCTTAATACCCAGAAAGGCACACCCTGGACAGGGAAAAGGGAAAACAGTCCAGATACTAGAAAAGGGATAGGGTCAGGTACACACTGGCATCCTCACTTAGACATCAGTCTTTTTTTTTCTTGAGACAGAGTCTCACTTTGTCACCCTCAGAGTGCCATGGCATCATAGCTCATAGAAACCTCAAACTCTTAGGCTCAAGAGATTCTCTTGCCTTAGCCTCCCAAATAGCTAGGACTACAGGTCCCCGCCACAACACCTGGCTATTTTTAGAGACAAGGTCTTGCTCTGGCTCAGGCTGGTCTCGAACCTGTGAGCTCAAGCAATCCACCCACCTTGGCCTCCTAGAGTGCTAGGATTATAGGCAGGAGCCACCATGCCTGGCCTAGACATTAGTCTTAAATGAACTTAAGTTGCATGAATTTGTCACAGAGAGACTGAAAAGATTAAGAAAGGCCTATCTATGGACCTGCAAGACTGAAGAATGTGGTAATTTAACCATGTTGTTGGCCCAGAAAGGTTTCACCTGAACCCAAGTAGCACCCTCCCTGAACCACAGAGGTGTTATTCTACCTCTTCTTATTTATACGTTGTCTGAGGAGATCTGTTAGTAGTCTACATCCCCATCAGGAAACAAAGTTCATTTAAGGTAGCAACTAACTTAAATTTTATGCCCATCAATCAACTCCAGAAAAATCAAACTTTATGAATTGATAAAAAATGGGTACATATGTGTTTCCACAACACTCACCCCAAAGTTGGAGGCTGCAAAGCGATCAGATGCAGAGACATTGGTAGAGGCCGTTGTGTGAGCATAGTAGGCATTGATGTTGGCCAGTAAGGTGCTCATCACCGCTGGCACACCAGGACACATGTACTTGGATGACAAACAGGCAAAGTGCCTGAAAAACATAGCACCCTCAGCCTCAGAGACACTTCAGGGATTGCAGCAAAGTCAAATAGGACCTCAGTAAAAGTCTGTGGAATAAATGAACAGCCAGGGCAATTGCTGCCCCCTGCTTGCCCAGGGTTGCTTCCTATGCACAGCTATAGGAGTCAGGGTATCCAGCTTCTCATAGAAGTCAGGAATTCCCGTTACAGAAGTCTTGGTTGACTCTGTACATGGCTACTTTCCCTAGGGTTTAGAATCTTCTCTGACTTCTAGGCCAGTCTAGGTTAGCTAGTCTGTTACAAACATTACATGAGCACATATACCTTGTCTGCTCAGGCCTGTAGTGTCTGGGCAGAGCAGGTTTGTCCTTGCATCCCCTCCCATGACCTTTTCTTTCCTATCTCTGAACTTTGGAATACATTTTCTATGAGCTACTGACAAAAACACTCCCTTTCTACATACTCTCTTTGCTTTGGGGTACAGACACATCCCCCCAACTCAGAGAGGAAAGTAAGGAACCACTGCAAGCTATCCCACTAATGACCTGTCTCCCATGTGAGTGTGCCCTCATTAGCCACCCCAAGGATTAGTAGCTACTTCCCAGAGCCCCGGGGGAGCCTCACGTCATGGCCTGATATATGGACTCAATGCCATAGCGCATGGCAAATTCATCCACAATTTCCTGGGCTGTCTCATCAAAATACACTTTCCACGCATCATCTCCTCGAGCCTCAGGAATCTGGACTCCTCCACTGCCCTGAATGTCTGTGAGGTAATGGAAAAGGTTCTGTAGGAGACAAGAGCAGAAAGAAAAGGGTTAAATACGTATAAAAAAATAAAAAAAAACCCTGGTGATAGAGCCCTAGAGAATGTGAATAGGGGGTTCCACAGAAATTCTGTCCTTTAGTCATTACTCAGTTTCTCCTGTGGCCCCAGTAGGCTGTTCTCACATTAGTGGAGAAGAACCATGTCTGGGTTCAGTCACTAGGGCTGTTTGGATAGCACAGTGAGCTAAGGATAAAATTAAAAACAGGTCCCAGGCCAGGAGCGGATGCCTGTAATCCTAGCACTCTGGGAGTCTGAGGTGGATGGATTGCCTGAGCTCACAGGTTTGAGAGCAGCCTAAGCAAGAGCGAGACCCATCTCTAAAAATAGCTGGGCATTGTGGCAGGCACCTGTAGTCCCAGCTACTCAGGAGTCTGAGGCAAGCGAATCACTTTGAGCCTAAGAGTTTGAGGTTTCTGTGAGCTATGATGCCATGGCACTCTATGAGGGTGACAAAGTGAGACTCTGTCTCAAAAAAATAAATAAAAATAAAAACAGGCCCCAGACCTTTAACCACCTAGCACAATTCCACTTATAGCCAAAGGCCCCTCCCAGCACAGCTTTCCTGCCCCCAACCTGCAAAGGGCTGGCTCACCTCATGGAGACATGTATACTGCATGTGATACGGTGCTACCTTCTCCTCTCCCTTGATCTCCACACTGATTTGTAGTCGGATAGCTCCTGAGACAGCTGACTTGTCTGTCCTCTTCTCTAGGAAGGTAAGAAGACTGGAGATTGACGCTAATGCAATGTGATAGCACAAGCAGCACCATCCTGGCTCCACCCAGGGAAAAGAAGGCACCAACCCAGGGCTTTACCAAAAGGGTGAACTCACTTCAGTAACAACGTATTCCACAAAGAACACTGAACTGGCAGGGTGAGACAGCAGGAGTGGCCAGGGGCCAAAGCCATTAAGGATTAGAGAGCCTTCTGACCATGAAGAGCATTTAGCCAAAGTGAGTCCCAGCCACTACCACTCCTCTGTCCTCCATCCCTACCCAGTCTTTGCCAGTAAGTCAGGTTCTGTATAGAGGTATGCTCTGGAGACTGAGTGATGGTTTTGGGAAATGGGAATATTCTCAGGCCCCCTTTCATGTTCCCCCTTTCCCAGAACCCTTCTCCAGTTTCTTTACCTAAGTTGTACCAGACGTCCATCTCACCACTTAGTGTCCGAACCTCAATGATGGTTTGGCCAAGAAAATCATCTGACTCTCGCTTTAGCCGCTGTTTTACTCTTGACTTGATGTCATCATCCTCATCCCACACACGTACCTTAATGCGGTCAGAGGAGTTGTGGCACTCACTGTGAGAGAATTAGGTGGGCTCTGTTAGAGATAGGCCCAGCAGCACCTATTCTTATTACTTCCAATTCCCTCCCCAAAGTGCCATCAACTTCACTTGAGGCCTGGAAGTGTAAGAGAAGAAGTCAGAGGACAGAAGTACAAAAGTTCCAAGCCAGTCAGGCTACCTCTGCAAACGGTTCTTCATTCCTAAGCTTAGGAGGCTCTGTGTACCATTATCCAGTTCTTATTGCCCTGGAACAAAGGGCAGGGTGGGGAGAGTAATTAGGATCGATTCTGACTTGCTCTGCAGCTAGCTGTATCAGCAACACCAGCAGAAAAATAGCAGAACATGCTATGGAGCCTCAGGAAGCAACTGCTCCCTCCCTCCTCAGAATCCAAGATAAGAAGTCAGTAAAGATGCTATCTGTGTTCATGGTAGTCCATCTGGTCATACCTGCTTAGTTTTCTATCTAACCTGCATCTGCCTAACTATGTGCTTGGTGAACTTCTATTGCCCTTTAATACCCCATTGAGTTGTCATCTCCTCTATGGGCTGTGCTTCAGGGAAGGGAGTTTGCCCAAGTCCCCCCTCATATTCTCTTCCCCAGCAGTTGCCTTCTGGGTCCTGTTGCCTTACCCAAAAGTTATACTTAGCATAATTTGCTGCTCTTTTCTCTATGTTCTTATAATACCTTTCCATGTTCCATTAAAATATTATAGTATAACTACTGCACTACTAAAGAATGATGGACAACTCAGCAGCAAACTTCTTAAAGTCAAGGATTACGCTATTCATTTTTAGGTACACAATATCATGTATTGTGTCTTGTATAGAATAAGCACTTAAGTTGTTTACTAAAAGTGTATGATAGATAGCCCAGGCACAATGGTTCACACCAGTAATCCTAGTGCTTTAGGAGGTAGAAGAGGGAGGATCACTTGAGGTTAAGAGTTTAAGACCAGCCTGAGCAATACTGTGAGATCCTGTCTCTACAAAAAATAGAAAAATTAGCTGGGCATGATGGGACATGCCTTCAGTCCCAGCCACTCAGGAGATTGAGGGAGGAGGATCATTTGAGCCCGAGAGTTTGAGGTTGCAGTGAACTATTATGAAGCCACTAAGCTCTAGCCCAGACAACAGAGTAAGGCCATGTCTCAACAAAAATTAAATAAATACATAAATAAATAAATAAGCAGTCAATGCTGTGTGTGGAAACTTAAAAAAATGGGCAAAAATTCTTAAAAAACTGAAAGTAGCTATGCCATTCAATTGGGCAATCTCACCACTAAGGATCTACCCAGTGGAAGTCATGGAGGCTCACATCTATAATCTTAAAACCATGGGAGGCCGAGGAAAGAGGACTGCTTGAGATCAGGAGTTCAAGACCAGCCTGAGTAAGAGTAAGAACCTGTCTCTACAAAAAGTAGAAAAAATTAGCTGGATATGGTGGGTGCCTATAGTCCCAGCTACTTGGGAGGCTAAAGCAAGAGAATTGCTTAAGCTCAGGAGTTTGAGACTGTAGTGAGCTATGATTGCACCACTGTACCCCAGCCACGTGCATCCATGCATTTATCATAGCAAAGTTCATAACTGCAAAGATAGGGAACCAATCAACTGATGAGTGGCTAAAGAAAATGTTATATCTGTATATGTTACATCATGGAATACTACTCAACCATCATAAAGAATGAATCGGG